TTGCATGAAGAACCTTCTCCTCCTGCTGGGTCTGAGGAGGGATGAAAAGGCCCCCCAAAAACCAAATTCTGGCTGATGAGCCTGAGGACACTGAGCCCTTGTGAGTGTCCCCACTATGGCCTGGACAACACTTCTTCTCAATTTATTGCTTACAGCTCAGGTCAGGAGAAAAAAGTCTGTGTCTGTGGGGATCTGTACAATGCAGAAGACAGGGAAACCCTCATCTTCCTAATCAAAACTTTGTCTTTCCTATTGCTTTAAGGAGTGGATTCTCAGACTGTGGTGACCCAGGAACCATCACTCTCTGTGTCTGCAGAAGAGACAGTCACATTCACCTGTGACCTGAACTCTGGGTCTTGCTCTTTGAGTCACTATCCCAGCCAGTATCAGCAAACACCAGGACAAGCTCCACATGTACTTATCTACAGAACAAACAACTGCCCCTCTGGGGTTCCTGATCGCTTCACAGACTCCATCCTTGGAAACAAGTCAGTCCTCACCATCATGAGGGCTCAGACCGGATGAATCTGATTATTACTGTATGGTGTACATGGGTAGTGGCATTTGCACAGTGAGTTAAACCCATGGGGAAGTGCAACAAAATGTTCTTCTTCTTCTCAGAATGCCTGAGTCTTCAACAGCAAAAGAGAGACAATGAGATGGAGACAAAGGTAGGCACTACAGTGGGGAAGGAATCTCCACAGCCTTATTCTCCTGTCCAGTGGTTTACTGCCAGGTGCCTTATACAATCTTTCCCAGAACGTTTCTCTCTCTCCAGTGTGACTCCTCCATGACTGGGCTTCTCCACTCTGCCGAGAGTCATGAGGGGAGGAGACTCTGCTCCAAAATATATAACACACCAGTGAGACTCACTACTACCAGGAAGACTGCTTTTAAAAGAAGCATACACTGCTGTATCCTTCATTAGTCTGACTATGGAGACCAAATATTTGGTTTAATATTGAAATGATATCATTACTTGGGAGATGGCTAAAAATGCAATTTGCTCAGATGCCATACTAAACCAGAGATTGCTTCAGTACCCAAAACTCTGTTCCAACAAGTTCTCCCAGAGAGTTTTGTGAATATTAATGTTTGAAAGACAACTCTACTCTTATTATTATGAAATTATTTTGAGAATT